GGTTCAGCATGAACAAGATGAACAGAAATATGGTTAGAGAGGGTTCTTTACCTTGTAGTCCAGATAATATGCATGCTGCAAGAATAAAGGAGAAACGACGATTAGAAGCTGTCTCTTCTTTTTCAGAGAAAGAACAGGAACAATAGAGATTCTATTCTCTATGCAAGAGAGTTTTTTTTTGTTCTGATTACCTCCCACACATCCAAACAGATGATAGGCTGCAAGAACAACATGAGGTGATTAGGGCAATGACAGGTTTCAGAAAATGGAGAAATCACAAGGAATGAAATGAAAGTCTGCATACAATATCGTCCCACACGAGTGGGTTAAGTGCATTTGATGTTTTCACAACCTCAAGCCTCCTCTCTTCCCGTTTTACTGAAATTTAAGAAGAAGAAGAAGAAGAAGATCATGTTAGCAAGTTGGGGGATTACAGTAAAAGACTGAACAAACGAATGATATTTTCCCCTTTAAATGTTTATCTTTATCCTAATGAACAGAGAATCAAGAATTTCCACTTTCAGGTTCATGTTCAATAAGATGCAAGATGTTTTAACTTCGTGAAGAACTCACGGGCAAGCCAAACCCAGCCAGAACCGAATTGAGTAAGAGCTGCATCGACGAACTTCTCTCTGAAATTTGTGAAGGAACCGAAATCCTTTTCGATCTGCTCAAGCACACCCTTTTGGGGTGTGTCTCCACCACCAGGTTGCATAGACTCCCAGAAGAAATCATGATTATAGACCTGCACCATTTTCGTGTATTATTATCAATATTTAAGAAAGAAGAAGCAGAAAATTCATAAAGAAGAAATGGTCACAACAGACATGTAACCTAGCACGTAACCTAGCACGTAACTAGCATTACGACGTACATATACATCAGGTGTACCTGAGCAGCGTTGTTGAACTCGGGGAAAGGATTTCCATTGTTGTATGTTGCCTTGATTAGCTCTTCCATGGTGTATCCATAAAGTATATCATTCTTCCCGAGCTGCTTATTTAGATTGTCCACATAACCACGATGGTGTTTATCCCAATGCACCTCCAGTGTCCTTCGGCTCATGTATGGTTCCAGAGCATCCTATAAAACAAAAAGCTTTCATCTTCTTTTTTTTTTCCTCTTCAATAAAAATCTCACTAAGCTGCAACGTGGAATTGAAACCCATCAAGAGATCGGAAACCACGAAACTGAAAAACCTGTCATGCTAAAGACAGGTTCTTTACTCAATGATCTAAGCCCTCATTCACTTCTTCGACAACAGAGCTTCAACACAGAGACTAGATCAGTGAAAATTGAAACCCATCAAGAGATCATCAGACATCATTCTAATTAACCAAATTCATGAAAACCATGTTTTCAAAACTCTTCCTAACAGCAATGAAAAGGAAGCAGAAACACAGGTTAGAATGCCAAACCAGACACAGAACTTCTACACCAGAGATCAACATCTAAGGACCAAGAGTTCAAGACGAAGCCAAATTCATTTCAAGGCGACAGAAAGTCACTTCCTTTCACACACCATACACCATAAAAACCCACCAAATCGCTACAAACACGAACACATAAAGAAGGGTTCTGATTAGTATTCACTTACAAGTGGATAAGGGGGAGTCTTTAGACCATAATAAGCTTCAACCTTTAAACCAGAACGAAACCCAGGGGACCGTCTCCTCTTCTCCTTACTCTAAACACGAGAAGTAAACAAAATACCAAAGGTTTATGGATTAAAAGCGACAGATAAACTCATTCGAAGCAAACAGTATCTGTGATTTCTGAAAAGAAAACGAAAGAATCGAACCAGATGGGGAAGCTTGGAGGATCTTAGACGCAGAGTAGGGTCAGGAACCGTGGATAAAAAGCTTGTCGTGGCGACACATGAAGGCCCCATTGTTTCTTCTTCCTCTTCGGTCTGTCTCACTCCGATGTTGTCAGTCCTCTTGCTGCATTTTTCAAGCTTCGGCTATGGAGGATTAGGCGACACTGGACAGCCCTCGGACCCACTTTCACCATAACGGACCGTTTGTTTTTGAATTTTTAATGGTTAAGCCCAATTCTCAATCCAGCCCATTTTCTTTTCACCCTATTTTTTTTATGGAAAAAAATAGGAAAACCAATTTTCAAGTTTTGATTTTTTTTTGCTGAAAAAAAATATATTTAAATCTGAAAGTGAAAACATCTATAACATCCATTAATATTTCTAAAATTATCAATTACATACATAAATATGTCTAATAGTTTATAAGTTCAAAATTTTAAACAAAGGTATATAAAGATTAAATATTTTTAACCTAACTAAAAAATCAATATACATTAATCATTAACAGTGTTTAATGTTTTTTTATAAAACTAATATAATATGTGAATTTGAAAAATATTTAAATATAGGATATTTTTATTTTATAATTTTAAATCGATAATTTTGTATAATATCACTGAAAACCAACGAAGAAAACCGGTTTGGTCGATCCGGTTTTCTATCCGGTTCGCAAAGAAGAAAACCGGTTCGGTCAATCCGTGATGATCAAGCGGAACAGGAATAAAGGCAAGGGTTTTAGAAGTAGACGCTTTTTCGAACCAAACAAGAAGCATCTTTGTTAGCCGGAGCTAAAACCCTCTCGCCAACGTTTGTCTCAATAGCACCAGAAAACGATCTTCTGAAAAATAATCTCTTTTTTGGATTCTTCGAAATTAGCTTTTGGTTTTCACCTCTTGGATTCGCTTTAATGGCCGCGAGGGCTTCGTCGTCGTCCGCGAGATGGGTCAAAGGCTTTTTGTTCAGAAGGGTATCGTCGAGTCATCTTGGATCGGTTAGAAATTGTTCTTCGACTGCAGGATCTTCTTCTGCGCCTAAAGTCCCTCACTTTTCGAAGAAAGTAAGTATCTTTTGATGAATTTGATGCTGTTTAGGATTTAAAATTAATCTCTTTGGCTATTTTAGTATAAACGAATTCCTTCGAGCTGGAATCTCAATACCATCGTCAGTTTAGGGAACTTAGATTCTGTGAGAGATATTTGCTTTAACAAATACAGTGGGCATGTCTTCAAATGCGGAGAGATTTAGTGAAGTAAAGCTCTGTGAATCAACTCTTAAGTTTCACCGCTTGTGATGATTTGATCATAGCATGAACAAAAAGTAGACAGTCGACTAATGTTGATGTACTAGGGGGTTCATCTTTCTTGCTTTTTCTTTCTTAATGTGAATCTCACAGTGGACAAAAACCGGGGGCGTGGTAAGCTAGATTTTCACCTCATAGAGGTCTAGTTTGATAGTTTTAGTTTACATCGTGAACTTGCTGCCATATAAAATCCCTATGGACATTTGAAGTCAGTTCCAGGTGTATTTATGTATACGCACATGTGTGTTTATGTAGCTTTGTCTCTGGATGTGCCAGAGTTAAATCTCTGGACATTCTTGTTTTATTAACTCTGGTTTAAATGTCTGAAGTTTATAGCTTTACCTGTCTTGAAATTTAGGGAAGGATATTGACAGGAGCCACCATTGGCCTTGTCATTGCAGGGGGAGCCTACGTGAGTACTGCGGATGAAGCAACATTCTGGTACTTGATGGATGCCTGAACCAATATATCTGCCTGGTTATGTATCTTTTTGTTTGTTCTCTTTAGCAAGAAACCATTGAAAGAATTTACAAAGAACATCTTGTCTATTAATAATTAGGATATAAAGAAGATATCGAGGAGGATAGATTGAAATTCTTTTGATGGGCATTCATTCACTGGAAAAACGGCATTTGTTCTCCATGAAAATTCAATTATTACTTCCTTGTTTTTCTGTTCTCCGTCTTTTTCTCTGGTATTAACTTAAGACTGAAGAGGCGTAGCTTACAACTTTCAGATGATCCAGAGTTCTTAAAAAAAAAATCTTGTTGTAGGACATATCTATCATCTCAGCTCATTGTTTTTGCTGATCGACAGAGTATTGGATTGGCATTTCTTTTTCTTGGCATAATTATAAAAGATATGAGTTCCACTTCTATATGTGGATACATGCAGGGTTAATAATAGCACACTGAATCACTTTTATTTTCTGGATGCCTTTTTCTTTTCTCTTTTTTTTTTCTGGGTTTGGCAGCGGGTGGTTATTCTCAGCAACAACACTCGTTAATCCGTTCTTCGCCCTTCTGGATGCTGAGTTTGCTCACAAGCTAGCAGTCTCAGCTGCTGCCCGGGGGTGGGTGCCCAGAGAAAAGAGACCTGACCCACCAATCTTGGGACTTGATGTTTGGGGAAGAAAGTTTTCTAACCCAATAGGGCTTGCTGCTGGGTTTGACAAAAATGCTGAGGCCATTGAAGGCTTACTAGGACTTGGTTTTGGATTTGTCGAGGTTGGTTCTGTTACTCCCGTTCCTCAAGAAGGCAATCCGAAACCACGCATCTTCAGATTACGCCAAGAAGGGTGAGAATCTCTAGGTCGCTTTTGTTTTTCTCAGTGTTATTCACCTTGACAATTGAATGAACAAAAAGCTCCAAATTCCTAATATGTGATTCTATCTCAATATCTCTGAGTCTACCTGCTAAAAACCTCACAAATTCTTTTTTCTTGGATAAGTCATGTTCCTGCTTTCAACTTTGCTAGTCAAATGTCCTAACATTTCTTATCCATTCCTTCCAGTGCTATTATCAATAGATGTGGCTTTAACAGCGAAGGGATTGTTGTTGTTGCAAAGCGTTTGGGTGCCCAACATGGTAAAAGAATGTTGGCAGAGACTTCTAGCACGTCATCATCTGTGGGGGAAGAAATCAAACAGGGAGGCAAATCTGGGCCTGGCATTCTTGGGGTCAACCTTGGGAAGAACAAGACAAGTGAAGATGCGGCTGCTGATTATGTCCAAGGAGTTCATACCTTGTCCCAGTATGCTGATTACTTGGTATAATCTTCATCCCCAAATTGGCTCACAAATTTTTGTTTGGAACATATTATACACCCCTAGATGTTATAAGACCGGAAATGACTTGAGCAGTGCTGCCCTTCAGGGCGAAGCTATTGTTTAGTTTGTCACTCCATGCAAAAGCGTCTCAAGCCCTCATGCGATCTAGCATAGATCTTGTTTCTTTGATCTTTCTCTTCTTGTGTGCAGGTTTTCTACAACATGGTTTGATTGGACTGACAAAACCTAATTCTTGTTTACGTTTTCTATAGGTTATCAATGTTTCATCACCCAATACTCCGGGGTTGCGTATGCTTCAGGGGAGGAAACAGTTGAAGGACCTTGTAAAAAAGGTATCTGGCCTTATCTTCTTGTCTATACTTTATCATTTTTGTTCTTTTTCTTTTTTGTTTTCCCTGCTGATACTCCTGCATACTTCACCACTTGAATATACAATGAACTCAGACTCATGTCCTGATTGATTTTTTTGTTTCTAGTGGTTGAAGTACATTAATCTCGACATTAAGCTAAACTTCTGTGGATTACAATCTACATATGAATTACCTTATGGTCTTGCTTTTTGCCCTTAAAAAGTAACATTTTCCACTCTACCTCTCTCAACAAGGTTCAAGCTGCCCGTGATGAGATGCAGTGGGGGGAGGAGGGTCCTCCTCCACTTCTTGTAAAGATTGCTCCTGATCTGTCTAGAGAAGACCTTGAGGATATTGCAGCGGTATGTTTTTTTTATAAAATAAATGGGCATACTTTTTACTTCCTTACATCGCGAGTAAACGACTCCTTACTATTTCATCTTAACTTGTGTAGGTTGCTCTTGCTCTCCGCTTGGATGGATTGGTACATTTTCTCTTACTCTGAGAAACGTTTTTTGTGGTCCTTCTTGCTCTTCGTGTTCAGGAGTTTGTTCTTAGCATAGGACAAAAGCACAAAGTATATGTTGAATTTTTTAAAACACTATCAAAAGAAACTCAACCATTGTTAGTTTCAATTATCTTCCAAGCATTTGCAATCATAAAGCAACTTTTGATGAAGTTTGTTGTTTCTCCTCTAGGTTATATCGAATACAACAGTCTCGAGGCCAGATCCTGTAAGCAAGAATCCAGTGGCTGCAGAGACAGGTGGTTTAAGCGGCAAACCACTGTTTCCTCTCTCCACCAACATCTTGAGAGAGATGTATATTTTGACAAGAGTAAGTATTAGCTTCCAAGTGGATATTAACATGCAATTCTTGACATATTAGCAACTTGCATCTGACAGAGTCGACTGAGAAAATCTTTATATTCTCCGCTTTCTGTAATGTGGGTTTGTTTATATCATCTTTTTCACCAGGGGAAGATTCCATTGATAGGCTGTGGCGGTGTTAGCAGGTAACATCACTTCTCAGTTTGTAGGTGCCTAGTTCATTGAGGTTTAGTATCCTCAATTGTGACAAATATTTTTAAAAAAATGTATGTCCTCTGTATTTTTCAGTGGTGAGGATGCCTATAAGAAAATAAGAGCTGGAGCTACTCTTGTTCAGCTATACACGGGATTTGCTTATGGAGGACCCGCACTAATCCCACGAATAAAGGTATATATCTCCTGTAATGCCCTGTCTTTCTTCCCCTCTCCGATATGTTCAAACCTGTTAGTTTTCTTAAACCTCGTGACCCGTATACCCATAACCATTAACAGTAGTAACAGTGGTTCCGATCTTTCAGTACCACCTCCTTTGCTGTGGTTTCCCCTGCTTTTGTATTGCCAATCCCTTTGTTATTCTTTCAAATCCTATCAGACGGTAACGGTAACGTTGCAGCAACTTCCAAGAACTCGTCCTCGATTCTTGAACTTCTGTTAGCAAATCAAGACACTATCTGTAACCAGGTGTTCCACACAAAAAGGGCACTCATGCTGCCCTTGGTGTCTCCACGCCCTGACAACGATAAGAAAAATCTGGTCAGACCATGAAACTGTGAGGTGCTAACTGGGAGATTTTTGGCTTGGTGGTGTAGGCGGAACTTGCGGAGTGCTTAGAAAGGGATGGCTTCAAGTCTATCCAGGAAGCAGTTGGTGCAGATCACAGATGATGAAAAAGAGCCCCTTTGCTTCCAAGTGATCAACAATGTTGTGGTTATTTCTCTCATTCATTCAGTTCTTTCTTTCCCTCGCGACTCTGGCTTTTTGCCATTTTATTCTTCCTGCATTTTCCCCATAAAGCCACCGAGAGATGAGAATTCAAAGTTTTTGCTTAATGTATAATTCCTTGGGCTGTCTTTTCTTTTCATTGCCAGAAAGTTTTATTGGTAAGTAAATGGATAACTGTTGTTACCTGTTCAATTGTTGCACTTTGTACTTACAAATACACATTCTAGCAAAGCAGAAATACTTGTGATTAAAAAGAAGTGAAATTTTGATAATGTGCAATAACAGAGCAGCATTTCGTGGAAACATTTAGTAGAATTACAACAAAAAAAAGTTTTATTTTTTTGGCCTACAAGGGGCATGAATCCACCATACTGTTTGACAATTGATATCAAATACCTCAGACCCTGTCCTGCTATAACCAGAAATCGTCACCAAACAGAAGCTGAAGCTGAAACTGAACTTCCAAAATATGTTTGTGTCGAATACCGATAAACTAACTGAGAGAAGAAAACTTTACGAAGTCGGAGTAGATAGTTGCTTCAGTTTTGCCTGCAATATCATCCCGGCATCATCCGCCACGCTTTTCTTTTTCGTTGCAACCTGCATGAACATTCTCGGTGTTAGCCTACCAAACACAACATCAGAAAAACACCATGCCTGGCGTGTGTTTTCCCTTATTGGATGAGACGTAATCATACTCCATCTCATCCATCCGAATGCAGTTCCTGAATGTCGTCTATGAAACACACATTATTTGAGAGATTTACTCCTTCATATACGAAAAATAGCGGCAACCCATTTTCCCAAGTTAACAAAAGAATAGAACAAAGAAACAACAGATAGTCTGTAAGTGAAGCTGCTAATGAAGCCATGAAAGACACGCTGAAAGCAAATAATAGGAATTTTGGCTGACCAAACAAGTTTCTAGTCAGGTTGGGGGGTGCGACTAAATTACTCAAATGAAAGGGTTGCTAGATCCAATAACATCTTTAACAAACTATTTCCTCATTGACAAACTAAACGGCCACGCAAATATCAGGATTCAGTTCAGGACAATGTGTGTATGGCTACAGGATGTTAGATAATGTCTATTACAGGATCCCAAAAACCAGCAAGGATATGGATTTCTGATTAAATCTACTGCATGCCTTACCGAACAAAACAGCAAAACTTTTGGCCACGACCATAAGCACAATTCAGACAAATCTAGAACGGACTAAAGTCCTGATATCAAGAATAAAGGACGTGGGGTTAGCGACAAAAGTTCTACAGTACCACAGTCCTCACTCCTCAGTCCACGCTTAAAAGATTTGAACCGAAAGCAATCTTCTTTACCATGAAAAACATCATAAATCATTGATGGAGTACTCTATCCACCTTTGCTTACAAGTACAAAACAGAAGTTCTTCAATCGAATTTTTGTAGGGGGAAAGTTGCATGCTTTACTTAATTTACTCAGTGAAATGGAGTAAAGATGTGCAATTTATATCCTAAAACGTACCTCAAGAAGTTGATCAAAGTTTGATTTCAGTAAGTTGATCTTTCTCTCACAGTAATCTTTCCCTTCTTCCATTGTTTTCTACCAAAGAGACAAGAACACGAAAAATAAGCCCAACGAAGAAACACTTCAACGACACTAGCATAAGATTTGAACAAGTAGCTTAGAAAATGCATTGGGCAATTCATCGATTCGTAATACCTCGACGAAGTAGCCAGTTCCAATATCGACGAGAACCTTATCTGCATCATCAAGCGTCCCGGGAACGTAGAGAGAGGCCGTGAGAGGCACTAGCATCTTCTTCCCTAAATATCCCAAAAAAAAAACCATTGATGAAAACCTCATTCAATTGAACAAAAAATTATTGACCCGTGGAAATCAAATGCGAGCGAGAGAGAAAGAGAGAGAGAGACCTTGGGGACGAAGAGAGAGATCGTGAAGCGCAGCGGAGGCGGAATCGAGGCGGGAAGTGGCGGTACGGATGTTGTTGAGGCTGTCCTGAAGGAGATTGACTTCGAGATCCGCTTGCTCCTTCACCGCTTTCAGCTGCTCTATCCCCATCTTCTCCATCTCCCCTTTCGTCGACGACGCGGCCGCCATTCTCGCTCTCCTCAGTGAAAGCCTTTCCTGAAATGAGCTTTTCTTCTCGGCTTCCGAACTGGACGTCACTTGAAGGTGGAGGAGGTCAGTTCAGCCCATTGGGCTCCCTGTGACAATACCTAATAGGCCCACTGGTCTGATTTTGGGCCTATAAAAGCCCATATATTTTTAAAAATCTGTAATACATTTAAATATGTTTAAAAAATGTGGAATACAAATTATTTTGGATTCACGAGATATTCATACATCAACCGTAAGGGCTACAAATGGATGTCATTGAGATAAATATATATATATATATATATATATATATATACACACACACACACCCTTTTACATGTTCATGAAATTAAAATTCGACGGCCATTGATAATGATGGTTTGAAGTGAAATTTAAAGTAAGAAATAACGATCGACATGATATTTGGAGACCGCTTTGTAACATGCTTCGGTCGTCCCGACACATGCATTATCTTAGGTTATATGCCAAACCATTTTTTTCCCCCAAAAAAAATGCCATTGGAAGTGGGACCCACCAATAATTGGATTTGGGGATCAATTATGGTATTATTCACTCAAATAAAACATAAAACAGATTTTGTTTTTGAATATTTTTTTTCTCTCTATCCGCATATCTAACATATATGTTTGATCTTTTTCATGTATAAATGCAAAACATTGATAGAATTGAAGTTTGTATCCAAAATTTAAAGGTGATTTTCAATTAATACTATATATTAATTGGGTTTTCGTTAAAAATCAAATTGTTGATATTAATCACATAAGACGCTCAATAATTATATTTTTTTTTACTTTTTTAATTTTTTATTTCTGGCTATTCTACTATCCATTCAAAGTACCATCGTAATCAGTACAAATAAGAAACTACTAGACTTCAAAAAAAACCATTATGATTTTCTCTAGGCAGTTTGTTCATTAAAATAATCGAATAAATGTAAATAAAGAAATAAAAATCCATAATGGGCTCATGAAATAATGGCAGAATCCTCTATGTATAACGGTGAACAAAGGTTTTTACCATAAACAGAACAGAGCAGGAGAGGCAGAGAGAGTAAATCATGACGAGACAACAAGTGAATCAAGAACACAAGCCAATTCATTTCACAAAAAAAAAAAAAAATCATTCGAAAGTACATTTTTTTGGGGTAAATTTCGAAAGTACATTTTATATTCACAGTAACAAAAACAAATTAACTCACACTTATGTTTTGTTCTTGTTCTTGATGTGTTCTTATTCATGCAGAATTCGAGTTCACGATAGAGAAAAGAGTTCTTACATGCAGAGATCTTTTTTTTTTTTGGTATTTCGTTTCTGTTTTTTTTCTTTCTCGTTCTTGCCGGGACATCACCATGAGGATACACAACGAATTAATTGCTGAAAAACCTCGGAGATATATATATGTATATGTATATATATTGATAATAGTGGTTAACAGCTTGCGCAAATGGTTACCACATGAGTTGTAACAACAACACGATTATGAAGAACAATCTGGGGGTTTGACGGTTGATGATGAAGGTTCAAACCCAATAACATACGGCGCCGAATCGCCGGAAAACCAGACGAAGGAAACCGTGAAACCGCTTCCCGGTTTCTGCGTCAGGCGGCAATTGATGAAACTGCCCCCTTTTTCGGCATGAAGAAGAAGAAGAGAGAGAGGAAGACAAGCAATCTCCTGAAGTTGATCCATGTTGAGACCCATCAAAGATCAATCTGTCTCTCTCTCTCTCAAAACAAATCGTGATCCCAAGGTCTAAAACCCTAAACCCTAATCAGAACAAACGCTAATTAAATTAGAAAAAAAGAAAGATGAAAAGCAACGCTACCTTCACTCACTTTCATACAAATTCCCAGATTCTGAGGATCTAATTAAGGCTCCTAACACTAATTCCCACACCGACAAAAAAAAATGTACCCTTGTTTTTTTGCCTCAAAAGCACACAAGACACTCACAAGAAACACAAAGAATACGATGGCATAAACAGAGCTATATACCATATTCTTGTAAGCAACTTATAGATTAATGGAGAGGCCACTAGAGCGTAAAGACCAGACCTTTTTGGTCGAGCCCTGGTCCAAAATCAACGCGGGTCATCCTCTCTCCGATTTGACCCGGCGGTACCACCTGACAAAGAGGCTAACAAGTTGAGATGACCCGGGAGATAGTTCCCGACTCTTGCCGCCGAGGCCTCTCCCATGGCGGCGGCAGCCTGCTGTTGCTGGTGGACGAAGAGCGCAGCCGTTTGCTGCGTTATGGACGCCGACTGTAACACCATCTCAGGCGGAGCTCCCGCCGCCGCGGCGAAGCTCCAAAACTGTCCGAAATCCGGCCGAGCTGGCACTGCCCAGAACCCAGCCGGTGAAGCTGAGCCCACGAACGAACCCATTGTGTGTCCTACCGACGTAACTCCTCCGTCGTCCTTACCTCCGCCGCCGGAATCTTCCTCGGCTCTCACACGCTTTCCGAGTATGAACGGAGCGGGACCCGACAAGGGTTTATGGTCGAGAGACGAGAACGAAGATAGCGACGTGGAGTTGCCGCCGCCGCGGACGGAGACGGAGGCAGTGGAGAAGCTAGCCGGAGTGGTGCCGGTCCCGGTGGCGGCTATGATGGAAGGCTCGGCCTGACGGAGGAGCCACTCGATGGTCTGACCATCGGACTTGTGACCGAGCTCTCGGGTGAGTTGAAAAACCCGAGCAGCGCAAATAATGGGCATCCTAATCCTCCTCCCTCTACCATCGACCTTGCTATGACGATCCTTTGACGGAGGCTTCTTAACGGCGAGAGCTCCGTTACCCGCCGACGTCGAATTCTGACGGTGGCGATCGATCATGGCACCGTTGGAGACGGCGTTACCAGCTCCATCAGGATTCGACATGGGAGGAGGTTAGTTTCAGGGGAGAAACGATGGGAAATGGATGTAGAGTTGGGTTTTGTGGGATCTGAGGAAGACGAAGAAGAAGAAGAAGAAGGAGACGAAGGGAGGGAGGGAGGAGAAGCTAATGATTGAGCGGCAGGAGCTGGTGGAGACAGGAAGGTGGGCACATGGGTGGTGGGTCCCACACAGCTCACTGCTAAAAAACCCTTTGAGAGATTTTTGTCTGAACGCGGTGAGGCTCACGCGCGCTCTGGTAAAAAAAAACTGAAGTCGGGGGTGGGGACAGCTCCTGTCAGGGGGAATTTAAGTGGGGGGTTGTCAGTGGGCCCCGCCTCACTTTGCTGTTTCTGTAGCTGTTACATGCATTCAAGAGGCGTTATCCATTCGTGCCCTGCCACGTCATCCACTTGTTTTAGGATTCTCTCCCTCTTTCTACCGTTAGAAGAATCTCTTTCTAGGGTTTACCGTTTATCCACCCCACTCACGCACAAGTGAAAGTGTATATACACATATATATATATATGGGTGTGATTTCGACTGTTTGATTTTGCATTATTGAAATTAAATCCAAAATTACCATGAATTACTGCTTTTGCTATACTTGGAAATCGCATGCGTGCGATGATTTTTGTGGATCAAGTAATTTTAACCGTTACCTCGTTTGAAAGTTCTCTTGTTTTGTTACGTTTTTTCTAGTGTAAATATTTTATTTTATTTTTCGTATCCAAGCCACCTAAATTTTTAAAAAAAAATTTCATTTCCACATTGTTGAACACATATGTTTGCATCATTTGTGATAAAATGAAGAAGAATAACATGCATAAAACCAAAACACACAACTTAGCAAATGTGCCAAAACTCTTGACATTAATTTAAATGAGCATATAATATAATTTCATTATTCCCCAAATATATTGATGATCGATGTCAATCATTTTGGAAATATAAATTTGTTATAGAAGCGAGAGATTTATAAATACCCACGTTACAGTTCTCTCCTCTCCTAACAGTTTATAAGATAGTCGTTATGAGGCATATTTATCAAATGAGACAATCAACCACCTAATTGATTGGCAAGTAGACTTGTCGTCATCACACACTGACTAAGTGTTTTTTTTTTTAGAAAATTATTTATTTGGTAATTTCCTCCTCGCCAATATATACATATATATATATATATATATGGAGAGTACCACGTGTTGTACGTAAAATTTGAAAAATCAAAGACCTTATCTTCTGGTTGCTATGTGGACCAAAAAAGATTTTGTATTTGCATAATTAAAACTCGCAAATTCATATCATGTGATATGTTATATATAATTGATTTCCTTACCACTGAACATATAGTATATAGATACAGTTTGCATATATTAAATATCTTTTCCTCTTTAACATAAATAAATCTAATTTTTTTCTTGCCAACAACTTTACGAAAATCTAAAAAAAGTAAATTGAAGGAAAAAAATAAGAAAAGGGATAAAGAAAAATACCATATATTCGAGCATGAACAATGAACTATAAAATATGTTGTGTTATATATATATATATATATATTCCACATCTTTGTTATATTTCAATCATATATATTTGCCAATGAATTGGCTATTTAATTGTGCCCCGTAATATAATGCAATAATGAGGAAATTAGCGTTTTTATATTATTCTTAGCGCGTTTTTATTATATATTAATGTTTGCAATCAAATATATTCTCGCTTTATGCCCTTGGGCTCAACTGCTCCAAATAAAGTAAGGATATATAATTCAGTATGTAAAATTATATAACTTTTTTGGTAAGATATATTAAATTGATAAGTCCACTTGGCAGACCAAACAGGGGATTTGATTCGTGGTTGCGTCGAGATTTTCTTCCGTGACATGATTTGTTTATGATTTACGGGCAGAACATTCTTTATCGTGTCGATATTTGTTATGATTATTGTCGTGTCCGAAAATATTTTACTGATTAAGCGATTTTATTCATTATCGGTATAATATATCATATTCCGAGTCCATGCAATTATGAGACCCTATGTCCTTTTCAATATTAAATATATATATATAAGCCCAATCTAATCGAGCTTTTGAATATTAAACATATAGATGAAGTTTATAATTAGTGGAACCAAAATCTCGCCCTTCAAAAATACAATTTTTTTACAAGAAAAAAAGAAAAAAGAAAATATTTTTATGACACATTGGATCCCAATGTCATTAATAATGCATGCCGTTGATGCAGAAAAAAAATGATGTATCACATATATATATATATATATATATCTTAATTGCTATAAATTTACAACGACTAAAAATATTTAATATATATCATATGATATCTCTGTATATTTCTGTAAACATGTATATATTATTATTTTGTTATTTTTGAATGAATTATGTAACATACAACATACGCTAAATCCACTTACAAATATTCTATATATGGAAAAAAGATTCAAATTTTCTTTAAATGAAAACAATTCGAAACGTGAAGAACAATGCAATGATTTATGTACATGTAAGCAAATCTATATCTGTCACAATGAGTAATTCAACTTCTATACCAATATGTAATTAATAACAATTTTGGTCACTATAAGGAGATCAAGAAACTGAATTTTTGATAATTTGTAATGAAATTTAATATATTGAACTCAAAGAGTTGCTAATTTCAGTTGAAATGGAATATGAGATAAACCGACAAGCTTATTGTTATTGGTATACGAAATAACATGAAATTTCGAGGCGAACACTTTCGTAATTATTGCATGGTCGTCCAACACAATGTGGGAATTCGAAAGTTAAATCTTGTCGTGTCTTAATTCTCGAAGATTAATTAAATTAAACACATGGCTCAGGTGGGTAGCCAAAACATATATATATATATGCATTATCACTAAATTTAATCCGTTATTTAGAGTTTTTTTAATAGAGCTAATTAATTAAAACCCAATACTCTTCTGTTTTATAATATTTTGTTGGTCCAAGTCGTTAATGTAATTTACGTATTAAATGTGGCTATTCATAATTTCGCATATAGTAGCCGCCTATTAAGTGTTCCCACACTAATTAATGTAAACTAAAAAAATAGTATTATAATCTTATATATTTATATAAAATCAAACCAATACCTCATGTTTTATGGATTTTGTATATCTGATAATAAGTTTGCTTAGATACACTATTATACATATTCGGAAAACTATGAAAATAGAGTTCAAAACTGATTTTTATATGAAATTGCAAAAAAAAAAATCAGACTTCTTAGATAGAAAAAAAAAACAGTTGAGGAAATCTCACGGAATGTAAAAAAAAAAATATTAACATTAAAATATAATTTATTAATATAGAAATATTTTTTGTAACTTCCTTTGTAGAAATGTATTGTATTGACAGTACGTAAAGGCGAGCGAATAATTTGACAATTGTAATATGTGTTAAACAGCTGGAGCCCATCTCACCTGTTTTATTTGTCATCTTATTATTTAATTTATTTATTTATGGACGAAACTACGAGACAGCGACACTTGTGTCATAAAAATCAAACTCTTGTTTCATTTTAAAATTCTTACAACACCTCATTTTTTCCACGTAGTGGTCTCTCTCTAGATTTTCTTCGTCCTTTTTACCCAATGAAATCATGCCACGTCATCAGTTTGCAAGATTATTTGATCTCCTCCTGCTCAATTATAAGGATTTCTTTTTCGTTTTGTTGGGGATTTAATAAATAAACATCAATTATTTCACATTTTTTTTGTTTCCAGACAAAATTCGTGTTTTTAATGGGGAAAATTAAATATTAAAAGAGATAATATATGCTGCTCGCATTTAATTAGTATATGAACTGGCAAATACAGAGCAAGATTTAATGCATTTCGATGGGTTACATGAGAAATCTCGATCACAAATTTTCGGTACGAAAGGAGATGCAAGAACCCTAACTCCCCGAATCTTGATTTATTATACCATGCATGTCACATGTAACATCGTTTTCTACCCATGTCCAATTGGATTGGCCATACATCTTCCACGTCCTATATCGTATCGTATCTCGTCCATGGCGGATCATGCATCGTATAAAATGAAATGGTATGAAAGGATATATGTGTATATATATATAAGCATATGTTTCGAACCGTATAATAAGACCCTAAACCCAGAAAACATGATTGTATAAAGTCTGATTTTTTTAGATTCGATTGGGGTGACATTTGATAAAATGATTTATACAAAATTGTTGCTATTTATCATTAAATTTGCAGAAACTGAAGTTTTACGACTGTTACTTGAATTCCAAGAAACCTAAATTCTTCGCAACAGCTTTATCTGACTTCGAAATGCCATTGCTACTGCTAAGAATAGGAGGAAAAAAACGTCATTTTTATTTTTTATTTTTTAAAAATGGTTACTTATTACACATCGTTGTTTCAAATCTGTTATGGTTGTGAAATGATTCATTGGTTCATAACGTTTTATCGCTTTATATATATATATATATATAATATCATCATCTACTACGAACTTACTCGTTTGAGTTTTGTGAATTAATGTTACTTGAAGCCCAAGAAACTTAAATTGCATGCACCACTCCCATTTTTGAGTTTCGAGCTTTGGTCCGGAAAGATTCTCCACAAGTTTATTACTTTTTTTTTTTTTTGGTTTCATAGGGAACAGATTAAATACATAAACACCGGAATAATGGAAATGATCAGACTCACGAAAATAAATCAAATTTAGGGTTTCTTCAAGCCCTAGAATCGAAGTCGTCGTCTCTTGTTGTCGTTCCACCGATCACGGCATCATCGGAAACGTATTTGGACCAGAACTTGTGCGACTTCCAGACTCTGCCCATTTCTTCGATGGGGACACCCTTCGTCTCAGGCAACAAGAAGTACATGAAGGTTGTCATGATGACGACCATAACGGCGAAGAAGTAGAAGAGACCAAACTTCATGTGGCAGAGCATGGAGAGGAAGAACTGTCCGATCACGAAGGTGAAGAACATGTTCACCGACACGTTGATCGATTGACCCGCAGATCTGATCTCCAGCGGACAGATCTCACTCGGCACCAACCATCCCAACGGCCCCCACGACCACGCGAACCCCGCCACGTAGACACAGATCATGGCTAAGATCACGTCCGCATCCGCCTTTGACAACGTCCCTTCTCCCCTCAGTCCAAACTTCCATCCGATCATTGATCCGACACCGATCTGTTTTTACAAACATATCAAACAGAGAAGTACTTACTGAGCTTTGTTGATTTGTATATATGGGCTAATTAATATATCTATCTCTATATATATGGGTGTGTGTGTATGTACAGGTACCTGCATCAAGATCATCTGAGCACCACCCTCGAGGAAGAGAGCCCTGCGTCCAAACTTGTCGACGGTGACGATGGAAACGATGGTAGAGATCACGTTAACCAGTCCGGTGATAACAGCAGATATGAGGGCTGCATCATCTCCAAACCCTAATGTCTTGAACAAGACAGGGGCATAGAACATGATCACATTGATCCCTGTAAGCTGCTGAAAAAACGGAATCACCGAACAGAAAGTGAGTTGCGGTCTGTATTGAGGTTTCATGATGTTCCTCCATGGGTGCTCGATTTTCTTGGCGGCCTGGCTGGCAGCGTAGAGGTCGTTGTATTCGCGTTCGATGTTCTCGACGCCTCTGATCTTTCGCAACATTGCCTTGGCCTCTTCGTGGTTGCCACGTTCGAGGATGGAGTTTGGAGTGTCGGGCAAGAAAATGGATCCGATGAGCATCATGACAGCGGGAACACCGGCCAATCCGAGAGACACTCTCCACCCGGCAGCGTGCTTCAGCTTGGGGGTTCCGACGTTCACAAGATTCGCCACAAAGATACCGATGGTGATTGCCATCTGAAAGCCGATGTTCAACGCTCCTCTGATCTGAGCCGGTGCCATTTCAGACAAGTAGACAGGAACAGACTGTACATACACAGGTGATAAGATGGATCTTGTCACTATATATCACTGATCAAAAGCATGATCAATTGTGTATCAAAGTGTAAGAATGAATTACCTGGTTAGCGAATCCAACTCCGACACCGAGCATGAGTCGACCGATGATTAGCATTGCAACATTTACTGCGAAACCGTTGAGCAGAGAACCGGCAAGGAAAGCAAGGCCTCCGATAAACATGGAGTGTTTGCGGCCAAAAACCCTAGTGATGGTGGAAGCCAAGAAGGATGCGAAAAGGGCGGCCAAGTAAAGGGAAGACGTGAAGAGGGTGAGAAGTTCGTTGTCGTATTTGCAGTACTGAGTGTCGGTCTTCGATTTCTGGTGCTGAAGGCGAAGAACGTCGGGGAAGAACTTAGTGAGGAATTCCTCCATGGAAGTAACTCCTCCTGAGATACCGATGTCATAACCGAAGAGGAGACCTCCCATGGCTGCCACCACGCATGTTATGATGACGAAGGCTGTGACTCGCCCCTCATAGTCTCCTCCTCCACTCGTTGCAAACGCTCCTCCTGCCATCCCTTTACAAAAAAAAAAAACTCGTTCCAAAGGTAAAGAAAGACGAAAGGTTGGTTTCTTTTTTGAAAACCCCTTTCTCAATCCTCTTTGACCTCGCTTTCCTTGCTTTCCATTGGAATTCTCTGCAGATATTTATAATCCCACGAATACATCAAGCCATTTTCAGACAGTTTTTGCACCATCGCTTAGAATAGCAAATGACAGTTTGATGTTTATTAGTTTTAGTCAGAGATATGGATGTCGTGTTCTATCGGTTCCCAAAATTTAGGAGGTTCCAGCGGATTTCCCTGCCTTACATTTTTAGAAACTAGACGATAAAAATGACTGCCGGTCAAATTTAGGCAAATTTCTTCTAGCTATTTTTATCTAATCAGCTACTCGCCTTTCGTTCAACCCGATTGTATCCATCCTAATCTCTGTGGTCAAGACAGATCAAATGTACGGTACTAGAATCTTTTACTTGAAGGACTTTGCTGTGCTTATGTGGGTAGAAGAGGGCAGGAGATTTTATTGCATCACTGTTCAAATCCCAAACATGTGTTGTGGCGAGACGAGACAAAAGCAAACTAGTCCCAGTAGGATTACAACGCTCTCAAACCAGAGGTTTCAGGATATACATCTTGCATCCATGAGAATCCATTGTCACTGTCAAGTTCCCGACAAACTCCTGTTCCAAAGTCTCGTGCTGTTCATCGGAAAAACATTCATAAGAAATCTTGCAGCCATGAGAATCCATTGATGGTGTCTGTTTCTCTGCTCTCTCTCTCGGGTTTCAGAGCTTAAAAAGAAATGAGATAATAGATATGTATATGTATATGTGCCATTTGAATGATGATTTGTGTTACCTGCCAGAGATCTCTGGCTTCAACAATGGTGTTTGCAGGGATGTCGATGTCATCCCAGTGAGCGGTGAGAGCAGATCGCACTGGTGATCGGTTCACTAGCAGCAAAGCCACTCTGTAACCTGATAATGGCCCTGCCCATACCTCAAGATCTCCTTCCATCCTCACCTTCTTGGCCTGAACACCAAGTGGATCTGAAACAAGACAGGCTGTTTCCATTACAAGGAGGTTGAAAAATGTTTCAGGAGTCAAATTATGATAAGGGTACGCATCTTCGGGCCTATCCAAAAAGATTTAGGGACAGTGGCGTAAAGATATTGTCTACAGTCCAGATTATGAAAGGCGATAGTGAGGTCTGAACTCTTAGTTGAAGTACCCTGATTAACAGCAATGACCTCCTTGTTGGAAACAATCTCCATTGTTTCTTTCGTCATGTTCCTTATGTCACAGCCGAGTAGAAGAGGAGCCTGTAACAAAGGCATTGGCTCATGGATTTAGTTTTGTCTGAATCCAACATAGATCATCTTCCAGAACAGCATGTGATTTTGTACCTTAGAGATTGCCCATATGCTGAAATGGACAATGTATTCGTCCTTTGTCATCCCTCCATTGCCCACTTCAAGCATATCTGGGTCTGCACCACCAATGAAGAAGAAGACCCATTTATCCTATGTGCTTGAGAACCAAGTTCTGAACAAAAACATAAGCATCTGATTTCGAAAGTCGGTACCATTCCAGCCTCCAGGCCTTGCAAGAGCGGCATAGACTTCATTCATGTCTGCTCTAGAGACCATACTGCCCAAGACATATACGAAGAAGTACATAACAGAACTTCAAATCCTCTTTCTTGCTACATCTTGCACAAAGAAACTGACATGTCTTGTTACCTAGCCCAGTTATCAGCGATGTCACTTGTGGTTCTCCAGCTGTTTGCTACTTGAAATCCCCAGAGAGCCGGATGCATATCTCCCCTGACACGACCGAGGCTAGTTAGAAAATCATGTGACAGTTGAAACAAAGTTCTTTTTTGCCTGGAAAGGAAGATAGTTTACCATTCACACAATGAGAAGAAGATGGGGCGACCGGTTTTCATCAGAGCTCGTGTCATCACAGGATACCTGAAAATATCACCCGTTCACACACAGTTCACGCAATACGTAATCTGAAATCAGTTAAATGCATCATATACCTAACAGTCGGTTTCAATCCATCATTGTGGCAGTTGTCATACTTCAAGTAATCTACTCCCTGCAGCTCAAGTGATGTTTCTGGCATTTGTTATCGCTGTCTGAAAACGAGCTCAAGTCTATCTCTTTATATGTCTTGAAGAAGAATGATGGGAAATAGAAAGTCACCGTACCCATTCTGCGAATGTCATGGCATCATGCTCCTCATGGCCAAGGGAACCAGGCATGGTTTTGCTGCAAGTGAAGTGCCTGTCCACCAACCATTCTGAAAATTTCAGCCTTATGTGTGTTCTTCCTTTGACCAGCTGTTACTACACGAGCAGGAAAAGGGGAAAAGGAACAAACTTTACCCGGCATCGGAGTAAATCCCAAGCTTAAGGCCCTTGCTATGAACGTAATCTGCCAATGCTTTGATCCCAGAAGGGAATGTTGAGTTCTTAGGCACCAGATGTTTCTACAAGACAGGTCAGAACAGAAAGAAAATCTAGCAGTTCTCACAATAACAACAGATCAAGAAGCAACTTGTTCGAGAACAGAGAATAGAATGGATGATACATTGTCGTCACGAGAAATTTCAGCCCAGCAATCATCTGATGAACACCAAGATCATCACACACCAGTTTCAGTATGAGAAGATTGATTTGAATGAGAGGGGAAGATTCGATAAAGGTTTAGAGAAGAGCGTACCGATGTTAACGAAGGTGTAGCCGAGCTTAGAGAGGCCAGTGGAAACCAGAGCGTCAGCTGCAACAAACAGAAGAAGACAAAAGGACAATTCGCCAGTTTCCCTGAATCAAGAACTGATTCATCACAAGACAACTCACCAGTTTCTCTGATGATCTTCTCGGTTATGTTACAGTTGAAATGGTTCCAACTATTCCACCTGCAACCATCACATTCCAACGTCATATATCTATACATATACATATATATATATAGAGAGAGAGAGAGAGAGTACCCCATGGGAGGAGAGAGGCCGAGGCCATTAGAGAGCAAGTTTCGTCGGAAGATATCAGAGTCATCATCGTTTCTGAGTGATCTCGAAGACTCAACCATCGATGCCATCACCATAGCCATCACCATCATCATATCAGTCCATTTTCTCCTCTCCATTTGTGGAAGCATAGTCTTGACCCACAAGAAAACTCAGAGGAAGCACTGAGAGAGAGGGAGAGAGAGACTCTACAACGCTATTTATAGAACTTGAAGGAATTTATTCAGATATCTCTCCTTACACAAAATACAATGATATCATTTTTGAGATTTTAGTTTTTGACTTTACCCATAAAAGCGCGAGTCTTGGGATTATGATCCAAATTTACGCTAAATAATACGACTGAGATATTAGGGGGCTTCTCAACAACAAAATCCGATAAAAAATTCATGTAAATCATTTCATCGTTCTGGCATTATATGTACAATGTTACAATGCATTAATGATCATTTCATCAAAGATTTTGTATTACATTTCTGATCGTTCTTTGAAAATCTAGATTTATATTTTGTAATAAAAAAACCAATAAAATATAACAGATGACAAAAAACCCAAAAAAAGGCAAAGGACAAGGAGGATACATAAAGGATCTGAATGGATATGGTTGTGATTGCCAAACTAAGTTTGTGTTTGGAAATGAAGTCTCCTATCTCTACCAATGTATCATAAGGTCCTCTGTCTTCTTTCCGTTCCCCTGCCCCCCCAAAAGGGAAAGAAGAAGACAACAACAATAACATCATCATCATCATCATCATCATGATTTCTTCTTCTTGTTGTCATCGGATCTGACAAGCTGAACAGGAGCTGCAGGAACTCGGAACCACCACTCTCTAAGCCGTCTGAGAGCACGATCGCTGCTCTCTTTCCGCCACCCGACTTCCCTCGTGAAGCTCTCTACGAACACCATCAATGTCAAGTACTTCAATGGCACAAAAGCCATCATTCCCGCAATAATAACCATCAACATAGCCGTCGTGTCAGTGGCCTGCACACACTCACCACCACATATGTATGTATATGTTTCAATATATATAACCCACCAAAAATCAGAACTTGACGAATCTAAACACTAACGCTAATGACTTGCCCATTAACCATTATTAACTCCCACCTGCGGTAATAGTGCCAAAAGAATGGCTCTTATCTTGAGGAGAATGATATTCCCAGCTTGGATAAGGGCTTCCACTTGGCTGATAGCTTCTTGGAGTGTAAGTATTTGCTCCACGGCGTTTTTACTCGGTGGAGCTGTAACTCTTACCGCTTTCGGCTCCTTCCCCTTGTTGAATTGCTTACGCCATAGCATTGTTATGGCCATGATGACTAATATTGACGGCAATATGAATCTTATCCACCCGCTGCACATAAAAAAATCCATTGCAGGTATCATTACATTTCCCAATCACATAATCACACAGATATTAACCATTTTGCAATGTGGCTTTCATCAATGATGGCAACAAAACTGATCTCAGTGCGGTATTCTAGGCTTTAAAATTTACCTTATAATCATATAGCTGACCAAAAGCATGAAAACTGTTGACTTGTAAGGATTTTCCCAAGAAGCTAGGCGTTGAATACACCATCCGAGTCTGACGAATGGAAACAATAGCTCCTGCACCGAGGCTACAAGTTAATAACGGTACCTAAAAGACAAAACGTGGGCGAAGAGGAGTTAGCTTGCAAGACCTTCATTACAGCAACATTTGTGTCTATTCCTTCTACTTTCACTTGTTCCACTGTTGCCTGAGCAGCTTCAGCTCTGTTTGTGTTTAATATCGACTGTTTCAGAGCTATCTCCAATGGGCTTGTCTCCCCAACACAAAAATCTCCCACGATTACCGTTTCTTCTTCCATATTTGTGCCAGTTTGTAAGGACAACCCAAAATGCTCCAGCATAATCAGTGAAACAGGTGATAATTTTGACGGCCATTTGATATACTGAACAGAACCTGCATCGCTAAGGGCATCAGAGCTTATACGAGCAACACGACTGGATAGAGCTTCTAAAACAACATCTCCACCAGGCAGACTTTCTGCTAAGTTAAATATAAGCAGTGTTTTGTATTGCGATGAGAAGACTTGGAAAGCATCCCTTATTGCACGATACCGAAATATGCCAAGAATTGCTCTTGCAAGTATTTCTGATCGCTGAACTCCCTTAAAATTGTGTTTCCGAATAAACTGTTGTACACGGAGGACTTCCAGGCATATACCCAACCAATAGTCACGACGAGCATTGCCTTTAAACTCAGGAAACTCAAAATAAACTGGCTCTGATCTGTGCCAAACAAAACAAGAAAAAAGAACAATAAATCAAGTCATGAAATGAAGATTTCCAAAAGATTTCAATTGAGTTAGGCATAAGGTTTAATCGACTAGATCACATACACTAGTATTGATTTGTACATGATAGCTTTGTCAAAGATACGAGCACCTAATGGCCCTGTCAACTCAGGTTTTATGACCTGCTTCGTGTCTTCACTCAGATCATATCTTATAGCTTTTTCAGAACCGCCGAGTGACTCAAAATAGAGAGCACAGTCGGTAAGTGTCAATTTCCCT